CACCCTCTTTGGAATCAAGTTTAGAGTCAAAAAAAGAAAAAAAGAAAAAAAAAATGAATGAACCAAAAAAAAGAAAAATTCATGTCCCAAGAGTACAAACTGGGGCAGTTCTTAGAAAGTTCAAGTGAAAAGAAAAAAAGAAGAAGAAAAGAATTGTCAAAGGCCCATGCCCCAGGAAACAGAAGCTGGGACAACTTGAAGAAACAAACAAAAAAAAAGGAAAACAAGAGATACAGAAAGAAAGATGAAAAATAGTTAGGTTAGATGTTTGAACTACGTTAGACCTGATTCCTTTAAAGGATACGTAGGCAGCCTCACGGTTCGGTCCAACCAAATAAGAATTCAAGAAAAAATTCCAAAAAAAAAAATCCCTAGTATCTGAAACTGGGGCAAAAAATTTTATTTCACTTTTGAAAGAGTCGATTCCAAAAGTTGTAAGTCTACAACCCCTCACTTTGAGCCGTCATGCCGACCCTTTCTTCCTACCCATATCCAAAAACCTTCCAAATAAAGACCTCCTGATCAACCTTCAAGAATACCAAGAAAAGCAGGCAATGAGCAACGGTTGCCATGCCACATAGAACACTGTCAAGTTGCTCCCAAAAAAAGAAGGGGAAAGAAAAAGAAAAAGAAAAAGGAAAAAAGAAAGAGAAAAGAAAAATGAGAGAGTCTTATTAGTGAAAACCCTCACGGGCACTGTAAGACGACGGTATGTAGAGATGAATAAACGAGAGAGATTTGTTGGTGAAAACCCCTTAGGGCACCACTAGTCGAAAGTGAGTTGTGAAGTTGATGCAAATGATTGGCACGAACAAGCCCGACTTCAAAGTCATAAGAATGGTAAAAGGGAAGAATTGGTCAGTTTGACAGATCGGCTGTTAAGTCCAAAATGCATGTCATGATCATTAAGGCTAGTTATTGGGGGAAAAAAACTCCTCCTTCTGTCCTTCCCGACAGGGGAATTTCTTGTTAATACTGTTTCTTTGCATCATTGTGTCCTTCACTCTGAGTCAGTCCTTGTCAAACAAGCAAGAAAAGATTTCAAAATCTGCTACCAGCTTTTCAGTTGTACAAAGTAAATTTGGCCAGCGCACTCAGTTGTTACTTTTAACGTGCCTTGAGGATTCATGCAAAGGCTTCCCCAAAAGACTCTTGTCAGCCTACTTGGCGCAAGAAAGATAACTGGTGATTCTCTTTGACAGACAAATTGCTCAAAAGCAGGAAGTCATTCAAGATATCGGAAAAGGTCACGTAAGCAAAGATCTCCAGTTGGGATAAGGTTGTTTGAACTGCAAATACAAATGGTACTAGGTGTAAAACAATCAGAGTTGGGGTAGAACAAAAGTCTCTTGAGACCGACTCAGGCTGATCGAGCAAAAGCCAAGCTGCTCAAGACACAAGGCCACAAACCGACCACTATTTTCAAAACTGACAAATTTTTCTTTGTGTGAAACAGGAACAAAGCAGTGCAAGGAAAGTGGTTCAAAAAAAACAAAACAAAACAAAAAAAAAAGAAAGAAAAAAAAAAGAAGAAGAAAAGGAAAGGAAGAGAAGAGTCGACAAAGGGAAGTTTCTCAAATCTTTGCCTTTATTTGTCTTGCTATTGTGCATAAAATCTTGCCATCACATCTTTTCCTCCTAGGATAAAAGTCCTAGTCTGATGGGTTTTCCTCCAAATTAAAATCTTAGTCTGATGAATCTTTCTCCTAGGATAAACATCATAGTCTGATGAATTTTTCTCCTAAGATAGGAAACCTAGTCTGATGAATTTTTTTCCTACGATCAAAATCTTAGTCTGATGAATTTTTCTCCTAAGATAGAAAACCTAGTCTGATGAACTTTCTCCTAGGATATAAATCTTAGTCTGATGAATCTTTCTACTAAGATACCAAAAAAAACCTAGTCTGATGAATTTTCTCCTAGGATAGAAATCTTAATCTGATGAATCTTTCTCCTAAGATAACCAAAGAAAAAAAAAGAGACCTAGTCTGATGAATTTTCTCCTAGGATCAAAATCTTAGTCTGATGAATATTTCTCCTAAGATAATAAGATAGGAAACCTAGTCTGATGAATTTTCTCCTAAGAGAGAAATCTTAGTCTGATGAATCTTTCTCCTAAGATAACCAAGGAAAAAAAAGAGACCTAGTCTGATGAATTTTCTCCTAGGATCAAAATCTTGGTCTGATGAATCTTTCTCCTAAGATAGGAAACCTAGTCCGATGAACTTTCTCCTAGGATCAAAATCTTAGTCTGATGAATATTTCTCCTAAGATAATAAGATAGGAAACCTAGTCTGATGAATTTTCTCCTAGGATCAAAATCTTAGTCCGATGAATCTTTCTCCTGAGATAGGAAACATAGTCTGATGAATTTTCTCCTAGGACAGAAATCTTAGTCTTATAAATCTTTCTCCTAAGATGACAAAAATAGACCTAGTCTGATGAATTTTCTCCTAGGATCAAAGTCTTAGTCTGATGAATCTTTCTCCTAAGATAGGAAACCTAGTCTGATGAATTTTCTCCTAGGATAGAAATCTTAGTCTGATGAATCTTTCTCCTAAGATAACAAACAAACAAAAAAAAGACCTAGTCTGATGAACTTTCTCCTAGGATCAAAATCTTAGTCTAATGAATCTTTCTCCTATGATAGGAAACCTAGTCCGATGAATTTTCTCCTAGGATAATAATTTTAAAAAAAAAAGGGAAGTCTGAATCTGGAAAAAAAAGGGAAGTCTGAATTTGAAAAAAAGGGGGTCATTTTTTTTTAATTTTCTTAAGATTATCAATGTTTAGTGTTCCTGAAATCAAGGGGGGGCCCGCCTGGAGAATAGAGTCAGTTTTTACTTTAGTCAAGCTTAGTTTATAGTTTTCCGCAAGCTCAATCACGTTTAGGAGACGCACATCCTAGTCGAGTCATTAATTTTACTCTCATCATTTCCTTCATCAGCAGCGCATGTGATTTATAGTTTTCTTAACACTCACAGATGTTCCCAATATCAAACTGGGGCAGGAAAATTTCTTTTGTTTTGTCTGTTTTGTTGTAATCAGGCGCCCACCTGGAGAACAAGGGAAGACAACTCAAGTTTCAAGGGAAAGCAGTTTTGAAGGAAGACAACTCAAGTTTCAAGGGAAAGCAGTTTCGAAGGAAGACAGTTCAAGTTTCAAGGGAAAATGGTTCAAGGTGCAAGGGAAAAATAGTGTCAAGTAACAAGAGAAGACGGTTCTAGTTCAGCAATCAGGCGCCCACCTGAAAAAAAAAAGGGAATTCAATTCAGAATGCAATTCAGGTCAGCAACAAAAGAAGCTCGCGTTAAGAATGCGAGTCAGCAGTCCGAGATGATCAACAGAAGTTAGTCACAATCCAGAATAAAAAAACTAAAAAAAAAACACAAAAAGAGAGACAAGAAGTGAATCCAAATCCAGAAGTTAATGAAAGATGTGAGCTGCTCAAGACAGGGCTGAGGTCACAAGCTCAGCATGTCCCGTCTTGGTTTGAAAAGCTGAAGAAGATTGAACCAACACCTGCGGCTAACAAGCATCAAGATTCAGTTCAGGATCCGCATGAAGAACCAACCAAGACTCAAGATCAAGCTTCAGAAGACTCATAGATAGGAATCTTGTAACTCGTAGCTGATAGGCTTTTTCATTTTTGATTTTGATGTAATAACAGGACCGCGGACTGGAACCTCGACGGCACCTTGCTCGGCTCTCAACCTCGGCATACTCCATCATCTCACTCACTTCTGAACTACACGTGGCCTGATTCCTTTATAGCCAAGGATATGTAGGCAGCTCAGATACCAGGGCTCGGTCACATTTTCCTTTCTTTTAGCTTTCGGTTTCCCTAAATAAGGGTCGGGTCAAAAAATCTGTCTAGTCGTTCTTTGTCTGAAAACTCTTCGCGTTTCCAGTCAAAGAGGGGCAGCTGTAGACATGTGATTTTTGACCCTCCCCAAGATTTTTCATATTTTAGCACATAAATATTTAATTTAGGCCTAATATAGCTATTTCAACTAATTTTAACTTTTTTACTTTATTTCGTCACAAAAAAATGAAAATTATAAAAATATTTTAGTTTACGCATCTTTTATAAATTTAAATAAAAAATACACAAAAATAGTAGCTTATTCTTATTTTTATACATAATATTGAAAATACAAAAATAGTTTCATGTTTTAATATAGTTTAGTTCAATTAATTAAAATTAGTTTTATATTTTTATATTATAATTGTATATAATTTTAGAATGAGGAATTAATTTTGGGTTGGTTTATCCCGTCTTTATGAATCTTGTAGTCCATTTTTTTAGTCTTTGGCCAATTCCCTTGCCCATAATTTCCAAGCCCATAATTCATAGGCTCATACCCCTAATCTAATCCCTACCCCTATATAGAGACTACACCCAAAAACTTTACAATTCGCCTCTTACACCTAAAAGACCCATACAAGAAAGCTTCAACCGTGACAAAACTTTCCCTATCTATTAACAACGATCTCCAATTCCCAAAAAAAAAATGAAAAATGGTTGCATTCACCTTTCAATCTCCAGAAAAGAGTGCCTAAAAGAAAAACGAAGATAGAGGGCGAGAGAGAAAGAAAAGCAGCCTCGACATCCTTTCTTTAACAACAAAGGGAGCGACACTATTTTCATCTCTAAGAAAAATGAGCCTACCGTCACCTCAAATTTCTCCAAAATAAAAGATCCTCAAACAACAACTTTCCAGCGTCCAAGAACACGCACGCACAGAGATAGCAACTGGTTTTTTTTTTTAAAAAAAACAAACAAAGCTGAGCTGAAATCGTTTTCTGCCGTGTGCTAACAAATCGGGGTGTCGATGTCGTTTATGATCGTTGTCTGAGGTTTCCGGACAGATTCGCAGTCCAGTCGAGTTTGTATGCAAGTTTTCCAGCGTTCTATTTTGTCTTTGCTCGCGTCAAATAGCGGCGATGTAAAGTTTTTTTTTGCAAAGGATCAATTTAATGAGGAAAGCTTTTTGAAGATCTGCTACTTTATCTCATCTCTGGTTTATTTGATTGTGCCGTATGAAAACTCAATTTTTTTAAGCTCTTTTGTTCTTTATTTTTGTAAGATGGTTTTTATAGGCTATTATTGAGTTTTAGAATAACTTAGGCAGTATTTGGAAAATTTTGCGATCCATGTCTACTTGAACTTCCCGTTGTTGGTATGGAATTCTCTGATAAATTCATAAGATTGGATGCTTCTGTGTTGTGCCGTTTGGTGTTGTTGGTTGATGATTAGGGCTTCTTTCTGCCAGCAACGAAAATTAAGTGCAACGTGTTTTAATAAATAATCTTTTCCTTCAAGGTTAAGATATTTTCTTGCTGTTGCTATTCCTTTTTCTTGAGGAGAATTAAATTTTGGTCCCTATATTAACTTTGTTTGCTCTATCTGTCTCCTATTATTATACTTAAGCTTTAATCTATTGGACTTTCAAGAGTTGTCCAACTTTAAACGTAGCTAAATAAATGGGCATTGACCAGTTAACAGCCCTTTTAAGTGGCACGTACGTATTTTAGGTAATGGGAATCGTAGTTGCTTTAGGCGCGTAATTTAAATTAGTTTCCTAAACTCGGGTGTGCATTTATGTGACCCAAATCCAAATCTCAACAACATTACATAAAATGTGTCGTGGACCGCGGGTGCATTTATGTGACGTGGTTCAAGACGTGTTTTAGATAACGTTGAACATTTCCTAAAAAATAACTAAATAAAAGCGGTTATAAAGTTAAAATTGCACCATAGGCTAAAATATGTATTAAAATCGGATAATAGGCCAATAATAACAATTGAGCGACCGTGCTAGAACCACGAAACCCGGGAATACCTAACACCTTCTCCCGAGTTAACAGAATTCCTTACCCGGATTTCTGTGTTCGCGGACTGTAAAACAGAGTCAATCTTTTCCTCGATTTGGGATTTGAACCGGTGACTTGGGACACCATAAATATCCCAAGTGGCGACTCTGATTCTTAAATAATCCCGTTTCGATTGTCACTTTAATTGGAAAAACTCCTTTATACTACCTTCGGGTGTGTAAAAAGGAGGTCTGACAGGTCCGATCCAACATAAATATTTAAACTGTGCACTACCGAGTGTCGAACGGCACGAACCATAGATGCATCTATCTGCTATCGAGACGTTCGGACCGCTCCACAAGAAAGGGAAAATACATTAAAACAACCAATTCAAGATTTATTAAGGGGAAAATATTCAAGGAAATACCAATTCTCATTAATGGTCAAGAAAATGAAGTTTAACCCTTTACAATTCTTTTATCAAGTTTCAATATGATTTAAGCAATTAAAGTAATAAGTAGGGTGCAGACATCGTAAGTATAATATGCCTTGGGTCCTAGACTACCCGGACATAAGCATAATAGTAGCTACGCGCGGACTCTCGTCACCTCGTGCGTACGTAGCCCCCACAAATAGAAGCACATATTAAATCAATTCACCTATGGGGTTAATTTCTTCTTACAAGGTTAGAAAGGAGACTTACGTCGCTCCGAAATTCCATAACCGGCTCCCAAGACTTTCCAACAACACAAACCGATGTCCAACGCTCCAAAACTAGTCAATAAACTGCAAATCCATAAATATATACTCTAATACTCCTTATAATCCAATTTACAATAATTTCTAGCTCCGCTAGAAAAGTCGATAAAAATCACCCTCGGGCCCGGATTCCGAAATTTTTTGAAGATAAACTTTTCCTATAACACCACGAACTCAAATATATAATTTATTCTCAAATACATGTCCAAATTAGTGGTCGAAATCCAAAAATACCATTTTCTAGGTTTTCTACCAAAACCCCAAATTTCCACTAATTTTTCATGAATCTCCATGTTAATATCTATATATAATCCAAGTATTTAACTTGCAATAGGTGGAAATCACTTACCTTGACATACATGATGAAAATCTCCTCTTGAAGCCTCTCCAAAATCGTCCAAACCAAGAGAGAAATGAGTGAAATGAGCAAAATCCCGATTTAAAACCATCTGCCCAGGTTCGCATTTGCGAACAAAAACTTCGCATTTGCGAATGAACAGTAAACACCAATGAACTGTGTTCGTAATTGCAATGAACAGTTGTTCGCAATTGCGAATGAACACTGTTCGCAATTGCGAATGAACAGTGCCTCACCGAAAACCAGCAAATCTAAACTTCTCCGAAATCACCCCGAAACTCATCCGGAACCTCCCGGACACAAATCATATATGAATTTCAATCATAAAATATGCTACGAACCTGCTCGCGCATTCAAAACACTGAAAAAAGGTCGTCTTGACCCGATATTGACCATGATCAAACTCTAAATTTCTTAATTTTACTTGTCTCTCGACCTATGATCCAAAATACACCCAAGCCCCTCGGGACCCCGTCAAATCATACTAATAAGTCCCAAAACTTGATACGAACTTAGTCGAGATCTCAGATCACATAAAATAACACCAAAACTATGAATCGCGCCTCGAATCGAATTATGGGTTATGAAATTTCCAAATTCTATAATGTCACGACCCCAAACCCGGTCGTGATGGCGCCCAACACTAATGCTAGGCAAGCCCGACCATTTACTCTCTCAACCCGAGCACAAAGCTCAAAACCAATTAATCAGATACTTAAAATCAAATATTAATACTCATAGTTGAAATACTCAATTAAAACAATACGAAATACTGACATAAACTGTAACTCCCAAAGACCTGGGCTCATGAGTCTAGAGCCTCTAACTAATACAGAGTCAAGAATCCTCAAAATAAGTATGTTCTAAAGTACGGAAATAATAAAGGGATAAGAGAGGAGTCGGGTCCTGCGGACGTCATAGCAGCTACCTCGACCACTACTGGAACTCTGGAAACCAGCGGCTAGCTCAACTAAGCTCCCGAAGTACCTGAATCTGCACACAAGGTGCAGGGAGTAGGGGGTGAGTACTACCAACTCAGTGAGTAATAAGCATATAAAATGTCTGAAGATAAGAAATCCACGAAATGCCACAAAGTAAAGCTAAAACTAACAGTCCAACACTTAACTACGAACCAACAGCAAAACAACTTCAAATATATCAGTCAAGTATAATCTAAGGATGCAATGCAATGCACATGACCGCTACGGCGCGTAGCCCGATCCCTCACTGGGGGTGTGTACAGACTCCGGAGGGGCTCCTTCAGCCCAAGAGCAATATAATCATATCATTCGCTGCGGCGTGCAGCCCGATCCATACTCAGTCCACAACATGCATATGAGTCACGTAACAGATTCAATTAATTTCCCAATTTCCAATTTATTAAGAAGAATATACTTTAGATATTTAACTTTAGAAAAAGTGACTTAGCATTTCATAACAGTGATTAAACACAGGACTGAGATCAATGATTATACAAAGCATGCTATCACAATGACATTCATCCTCTAAGGATGCTACAGATCGGCACAAGGCCCCAAACACGGCAATAAGCCCAAATATATTCAATACAGGGTGCGTATCAGTCGCCAATATAGAAACATTCTTGTTCGGGATGGACTAAGTCTCAATCCCCAGTCATAACCAATCCCGCACCTGCCATGGGGTGCGAGTCACGCCCTACAATAGCGTCACAATGTGATAAGCCGGGGTCAAACCCTCAGGCCATCATATACACCAACTACTCACCTCTAACCGGCCGTAGAATGGTCCGCAATGCCTTTTCCTTTCGTATAGACCTCCTCGCGCGTCGAATCTAGTCAAAATCACAACGAATACATAAATATGGGTTAAAGAAACATAACCCAATCAAAAATACTCGAAAAGTACTAAAATTCACGAAGTTGGTAAACCCCGAGCCCCGGGCCCACTTCTCGAAAAATTACAAAAATCACACCAACGGATTCCTCGTCTCGCCACGAGTCCGTACATATAAAGTTTACCGAAAATGGAGCTCAAATGGCCTTTCAAATCCTAAAAATTCGTTTTTAAAAACCAAGCCCTAGTTCTTCACAATTTCTACCCACTTTCATGAATTTGAGTGTTGATTCTTCCATAAAATGGTGTTTTCTAGTCAAGAGACTTACCTCAAATCAATACCCGTTGAAAACCCTCTTCAAATCGCTCAAAAAGCTCTCTTGGCGGAGTAAAAAATGTTTTCTTATCTTCTGAAATTCGCGAACACTGATTCATTAAAACCCTTCAGCAATTTTCGCTTATGCGGTCCCGTAACCGCTTATGCGGGACCGCTTATGCGGCCATATGACCGCTTATGCGATTTTTCATTAAATCCTTGGCCTTCCGCTTTTGCGCCCAACCATCCGCTTCTGCGGATCTCACCATTCCGCTTCTGCGGCCTCATTTTCGCCTATGCGGACCCGCTGAAGCGATACCCCGTCCGCTTTTGCGGAATTACCCCGGTCCCTCATGGACCGCTTATGCGATCTCTTAGCCGCATCTGCGGAACCGCTTCTGCGGCTCCTTTTCCGCAGATGCGGAAATACCAGAAGCCAGGTGCACCAGACCTGCAACAAACATCAAGATTCTCCGTTTAACCACCCGAAATCACTCCGAGGCCCCCGGGACCTCAACCAATAGCACCAACACACCCCAAGACCTTATTCAAACTTGTTCCAATCATCAAAACACTATCGTTAACATCAAAATCATCGAATTACCATGGATTCAAGCCTAAGTTAAACTAAAACTTCCGAAACTTGCATTTGATCTAAAACCCGTCCTAAACACCTCCGAATGATCTGAGACTTTGCACGCATATCCAAAATCACCTAACGGAGCTACTGCAACTGTCGGAATTCTATTCCGACCCTCGGATCAAAATCTCACCTACCATCCGGAATTCACCAAAATCCAACCTTAGCCAATTCAAGCCTAATTCTACACCGGACCTCCAAATTCAATTCCGATTGCGCTCCTAAGTCACAAATCATCCCCCGAAACTAGTCGAATCATCGAAAATCCATTCCGAGCCTTCTAACTCATAAGTCAACCTTTGGTTGATTTTTCCAAACTAACCTTCTCATAAAGAGACTTATTGTCTCATTTCTAACCGAACTCTAACCGAATTACTTCAAATTCTCTAAACATATATAATGAAACATATAGGAGCATAAAACGGGGAAAACGGGGCGGTAACTCCCGTAACGACGGGTCGGGTCGTTACATATAATTTGCACCGACGCGTATCAAATCAATTCGGA